AGCCAGCGCCGCCTGGAATTTCTCACAGACTTCGGCCCACGGAGTGTTCGCCATAGCAGCCTCTGCTGCCTAGATTTCCTTAGTGAGCAGTCGGGACTCCCGCCTTCCTTCTGTTTTGCGACACTTCACTTGCGGCTCTCGACAGGCGAGGGCCACTGCAGAACCGTAACCAATGAAGTCCGCCAGAGGCACCGCAGTACGCTCGGCAGCGGCCAATGGGAAGACGTAGCGGTCACCATAGCAACCGATGACAAGAAACTGAAGTTGTCAAAGAAGTGGTCCTCCTCCAGCCCCGCCCCTTGCAGTGGTTCGTTCCTCTCTAGCTTGACTCCGTGATGACGTATTTATATAAAAATATGTTTGACATCGGCTTACTTTAATGAAACATTTCAGAATATTGTTTACAAACAGCTAGCTGACTTTACTCGCGTTAATTGATAGAAGCTGAAAGGCAAAAACCTTTTGACATCAGTGTATACCCCAGACCATCAATCAATAAAAATTTCTCTTTTAAAAAGGGCTCTAAATGCAGCAGGGATCCGTTTGTTATTATTGATACATAATCTCTTGATTGAAAGCCATGAATATAAAAAGCACTCAGTATTTTCACCTCAACCCCAAAATACAGATGGTAGGAATGTGTACAACTGCCCAATGTAACAAGAGTTGTATATCACAAGTGATAACCACCTCACGCATGTTTGTTTTAAATTATATTCATAACTTTCCTTGGTAAGTTATGAAGTCAAATGGGGAGGGGAAAATAAGATTTTAACCATTAAGTACTAGCTGTGTAAAGTCTTTTGAGAGCACTGAGTTTGAAAGCTCTCATACTTAAGGTTTGAATCTCAGATAGGCTTTCTTTTTTTTTTTTTTTGAGACAGTCTCACTCTGTTGCTGGGGCTAGAGTGCCATGATGGCAGCCTAGCTCACAGCAACCTCAAACTCCTGGGCTCAAGCGATCCTCATGCCCCAGCCTCCCAAGTAGCTAGGATTACAGGCATGTGCCGCGATGCCTGGCTGATTTTTTCTATATATTTTAGTTGGCCAATTAATTTCTATTTTTAGTAGAGACGGGGTCTTGCTCTTGCTCAGGCTGGTTTCGAACTTTTGACCTTGAGTGATCCTCCTGCCTCGGCCTCCCAGAGTGCTAGGATTACAGGCGTGAGCCACCGTGTGTCTGGCCAACAGGTTAACTTTCTAAGCTTCAGGTTTTTCATAGTAAAATATAAATGATAATATTACTTATCTCCACAGAATTATTCTGAGGAGTAAATAAAATTAAAATGTCTGTCCTTTAAATGTTAGTGTCCTGAAAATGCCTTCCTAAACTTTACCCAAGGTATACCTTATCCATTTCTAGGGCTTTGATTACATGTGCTCCTCACTCCTAAAACTTTGTCTGCAATCCAGATGGCTTTCTGGAGCTAGACTGGAATATTCAACATCACTAGAACAATCACATCTGAATGTTCCACTGGCTCCTGTACATCAGTATGTTAAAATCAGAATTCATTATCTTCCTCTTCACATGCCTGTCCCTCCCACACCATATTTGCCACATTTACTCTTAGTGTGGTTCTCGCATTACTTGCCTCTATCCCCCAGTAGACTGCAAGTCCTGTAAGGGCTTTATCCCATCTCACTCATGATCCCATCTCCAGCACCTAGCACAGAATAGGTATTCAACATATATCTGTTGATTAACAGGAAAGTGATTGCCCATGGTTAATAATGGCAATAATGTTCTATGTATTAAAATCATCTAATCCTCAGAACAACTCTGATATACTATTATTTCCATTTTGTGGATTAGGAATTGAGGTCCAGAGAGATTAACAATTTATCAAAGGTCATATACAATAAGTAGGCAGTTTTACTCCAGAGCCTACACTTTTCAATTATGCTGCACTGTCTCAATGCAGGAGCTCAACAAATAAGACATTGTGACACATGGTACTGATTTAGCTGTGAGATGAAAATTAAAATTGAGGCCGGGCGCAGAGGCTCACGCCTGTAATCCTAGCACTCTGGGAGGCGGAGGCGGGAGGATTGCTTGAGGTCAGGAGTTCGAAACCAGCCTGAGCAAGAGCAAGACCCATCTCTACTATAAATAGAAAGAAATTAATTGGCCAACTAATATATATAGAAAAAAAAATTAGGCAGGCACGGTGGCACATGCCTGTAGTCCCAGCTACTCGGGAGGCTGAGGCAGCAGGATTGCTTGAGCCCAGGAGTTTGAGGTTGCTGTGAGCTAGGCTGACGCCATGGCACTCACTCTAGCCTGGGCAACAAAGCGGGACTGCCTCAAAAAAAAAAAAAAAAGAAAGAAAGAAAGAAAATTAAAATTGAAGAAACTTTTTAAAAACTCTTACACAGGCAGGGCGCGGTGGCTCACGCCTGTAATTCTAGCACTCTAGGAAGCCGAGGCAGGCAGATTGCGCAAGTCAGGAGTTCGAAACTAGCCTGAGCAAGAGCGAGACCCCATCTCTACTAAAAACAGAAAGCAATTAATTGGCCAACTAAAAATATATAGAAAAATTAGCCAGGCATGGTGGTGCATACCTGTAGTCTCAGCCACTTGGGAAGCTGAGGCAGAAGGACTGCTTGAGCCCAGGAGTCAGGTTGCTGTGAACTAGGCTGACACCATGGCACTCTAGCCCCGGCAACAGAGTGAGACTCTGTCTCAAAATAAAAAAAGCAAAGCTATAGGAGGCCATCTTTCATGTAAGAAAGGGAATCTAAGAAAACACACATCTATCTGCTCATTTGTGCAAAAAAAAAAAAAAAAATACAAGCAGGATAAATCAGAAACCCAAGTAACTCGTTTCTTCAGGGAATAGAAAAGGGAATCGGAATATGATTGATTAAATGATCCCTTCTGAGTATACTTTTTTGTATAGTTTTGACTCTTAGAACTAAGTGAATGTTTCACATACCCAAAGACAAATAATTAAAATCAACCGTGACAATTCTGAACTGTGCTCGTCAGGAATTTTGTTCACTGTCCATCAGTTTTAGTTTGTTTGATGTGTTTTCATGACCATATTGAGGTTTCATGATTAGATTGTTTTTTGGGCAAGAATACCATAAAAGATGCTGTGTCCTACCCAGAGCATCGTATCAGGGGTTACACGACATCAATATCTTACTATTGGTAATGTTAACTTGGTTAGGGTATGTCTACCAGGCTTCTCCACTGTTCTGCCCTGGGTAATTACATATCTTTGAGGAGATACTTTGAGGCTATGCAAATATTCTGTTTCTTCAAATCCACTGATTCTAGTTAACATCCATCAGTGGCACATACCTGCAAGTTACTGATACTTCAAAAGAGTGTCAAGGTATAAAGATAAGGAAACTGAGGCATTGAGACATATTGGGTGGAGACTTAAGGAGACATGATAACTAAATGCAATGTTGGATCCTGGATTATCCCCAGAAACTGAAAAAGGACAACAGTGGAAAAATTGTTAAAGTTTGAATTAGGTCTACAGTTCAGTAATATTATACTAATGTTAATATCCTGGTTTTGATACTTATACTATGGATATATAAAGTGTTCAGATTGGTAGAAACTGGGTGAGGAGTATATGCGAATTCTGTCTTATTTTTGTAAGTCTAAAATTACTTCAAAATAAAAATTGTTTTTAAAAATTATAAGCAACGGCCGGGCGCGGTGGCTCACGCCTGTAATCCTAGCACTCTGGGAGGCCAAGGCGGGTGGATTGCTCGAGGTCAGGAGTTCAAAACCAGCCTGAGCAAGACCCTGTCTCTACCAAAAATAGAAATAAATTAATTGACCAACTAAAAATATATATACAAAAAATTAGCCGGGCATGGTGGTGCATGCCTGTAGTCCCAGCTACTCGGGAGGCTGAGGCAGTAGGATCGCTGAGCCCCGGAGATTGAGGTTGCTGTGAGCCAGGCTGACGCCACGGCACTCACTCTAGCCTGGGCAACAAAGTGAGACTCTGTCTCAAAAAAAAAAAAAATCAGTGAGATGGAATATTCAATAAGTGTATAAAATTATTAGTCACTTGGGAGAAAAATGCTAGATTCTCACTTGATCTTACACCCCACAGTAAATAACATCAATGGCCAATGTGAGATGTTAATCTTCACCCAATTAAAAGATGCAAATAAAAACAATGCAAATATACTTTGTGTCCAGCAAACAGACAAAGGCAAGGCAAAACCCACTATTGCAGTGCTGTGGGGAAACAGGTTCTCTCATGGACTGCAGAGTGCAAATGTACATTGGTACCAATTTGGAGAGCAGCTGGCACCAAAATTCCCTTTAACCCTCCTATTCTACCTTTAGAAAATGTATGCCAAAGTGACAGACAAGTATGCAAAGATTTATATGAGGACATTAACTTCAGGATTGTTTTAATGGGGGAAATTTAGAAATAATATGGCCAGCCAGTATTGGTTAAATGTGTAGTGGCATATTCATAAAAAATAACATGAAGTCATCAAAAATGTCACCGTAGATCTATACTTACAGAAACTGTGCACATGTTCAGGGGAAAAAAGCTGTTTGTAAAATTGAATTACTCTAATTTTATAAACGAATATATGGAAAATTGCACATCAAAATGTTAGATATGGGGTAACTATTGTTTTTTTGTTTAGATTTTTATACCCAGATTTTATTATTTTCATAATAAGTATCTCCAGCTATTTTCATTTTAGAAAACAAAAAGCCAGCGAAAACAAAGTATTACTATCTTTATTATGCCATAAGGCAGTATTTTATACATTAACTCAGCTTACAGTAGAAACATTTTATGTACAACTATAGAGTAACTGCTGCACAGATAGCTCCAACTTAAAAATGGGTTGTAATTTTAAACTCCATTGAGTTGTATGATATATAAATTAGAAAATATTTTCTCTGTAGAAAATAGTAAAAATGATAACATTTCCCAAGTCCATTTAAGCCAAATAGTAGCCGAGTACATTATACATTTATAAATACGATTTGAATTCTGGGATCCAAGAGAAACAGTTTCGTTTATTGAAACAGTTATGTTTTTCTTAAAATTAAGTTATGTGAAGTGAAATTCCCAATAATCTTCCCTATTACTCTTGATTTATGCCTGATTATTTTTCTTCAGGCTAACCCATAACCCACATCAAGGTTTTAGCTATTCCTTCCAAAGGACAGGTACCGTATCATTTAATCTGCTTGATAAGGTATCCATTCCAAACCAAATCATGAAATGTTCTGGTAGTAATACAAGTATTAAAGCATACCTGTAATTTGGGCAAAACCAGAATCTAATTAATTATAACCCACAAGGTATTAATATATGTGTACTATCACCAAACATCTTCTGCTAATTCCCTGTGGCTTGATGGGAAACCATGAGGAACTAGGAGTAGACTGAGAAAATTTACAAGTGGATCAAGGAAAAAGGCCAAGAGAATTCTGAGAACCGAGGGCAAGAAACCTCTAGTCAGGATTCAAGGATAGAACTGAAGTTCCAATAGAAAACGGATGCTGCCTCTAGGATCAGGAGTTGAGTTGGCTATGAGAGCCCCTACTGCAAGGTGATCAAGAAAACAGCAGTTAGAGGAAGGATGCGTGCCTGGCTTCTGGCCGGGCCTCTGCTTCCCAGCACCAAAAAAGAAAAGAAAAAGAAGAAAACAGCAGGTAGAGATAAAGACTGGGTTAAGTGAGAGAAACCATGTCCTAGAAAGATTTTATTTGTTCGAACTGAACGAAAATGAGACAGACCATGTAGTTTTGATTTTCCTATCATAGTTTGTTCCAGGATTCCCAATACAGAATCTCTAGGAATTAAGATGAGAAGATAATGCCACTCTCAAGCTCCTATGTGTTGTTCTTCAGTTCCCTCGTATCAACAACTTAAAATAACCATACAGTTTGTCTTAAAAGAGTCTCTAGGCAGCTAAAAACCTTTCAATAGAGAAGCTGTCTAACAAAAAAGCCACCTATACGGTGGCTTTAGGAACAAAGCCATTGGAGAAACTAAATTGAAGAATTCTACCTAAAAACTGAATCTTACCCACTAGAAGTTAACCTCTAGAAACATTAATGATCCATTAAGTTTTCACCATTAAAAGAATGTTGAATCATGCATCTTTACTTGTTCTTCCTTTGCTCTCCACAGTAATAAATTTGTTTCCCTCTTGCACATGAAGAATATTTCCAGTGGGTTTTTGTGATATACTTTTCAGCAATGCTCATCTGTGAACCCCCCTCCCTTAATTCCTTCTTGGTAAATAAAGTTAATCTTCCAATAGGAAGAAGTGGAGTACATTGTCATTTAAGCACCATTTATCCAGCCTTCTTACTTACAAAGAAAGCTATGGAGCCATCTTATACATCTGGAATTCCTTATTTTTTTTTTTTTTTTCTTTCCAGTCTGAACCATACGACAATCTGGAATTCCTTAAAGACCGTGGCTTTCTATTAAAATGTACTTCTATATATCCTATCTGTGAAGAATTCACAGAAGCATGAATCACCTTATAAGAAGCTAAAATGTACCAAAATGCAAGTAACTATGGGTGATCTATATCGAATGTACTATATCCTACAAATCGAGAGCGTACAATGTCATAAACTGTATTACAACCCAGCTAAATCTGAAATCTTGTTTCAAATCACTGTTTGGTATTAAGTCTCAGAAGACATGTTATAGAACCACATGAGTAATTTGTTTGGCAGGTGGCCAACGCATGCCAATTACAGAACTTTGATTGCCAAAGGCTCGAAGTGGTCCTCCAGAGACTGTTACATTCTGTTAAGTACTTAAGGAAGGACACTATTAAGAGACACTTTTAGTGCAAAAACAGGTCAACTTACAATGTGTATTGAGATACATGCTTGATTTTTATCTATAGACAATGAATTAGAATAAAAGTGAAATGAATTTCCAACACCTTTTCAAAAGGAAAACATAATAATGAAGTAGAAATAAAGTTAAAAACGATAATGATCAGATGAAATAATTGAGATGAAGCTTGTCTGTCCGAAAGAGACAGGACTGGGCAAGTGGTCAAAAGGAAGCACGGTATGCCTGTAACTTTGTATGAAAAATGATGTTCAGTTCTATGTTGCCAAACTTAATTTTCTTTTTGCTATAAAAATCCTCTACTTCTATTTACCAAATGCTTTACTAAAACTCCGCTTTTGGCCTTTGTTTTGGGATCTGTTACTTTTGTTGCCACCACCTGATCGCTGTCCCCTGAAGCCTCGACTACCGTCCCGCTGTCCCCTGAAGTTTCTGCTTCCTTCTCGCTGTCGCCTGAAGCCTCGATTGCCTTCCCGCTGACCCCTAAAGGCTCCATATCCTTCCCGTGGTCCTTCCAGCTCTGGTTGCTCCGTGGCCACAGAGAGCTGCCAGCGTCGCGAATCATGCCATTTCTCCTGTTGAGAGAAGATTTTAATTTCACCTCCTTTAAAGTTTATTCAATTTAGTTTAAAAAGGCATGAGAAAACCATTTTCCCCCCATTTCTCCAAAGAAAAACTAGGTTGGTAACGTAAGTGCCTAAAACGTCACTGGTCAAAAATAATGACCTTCATTGTCCAAAAGTCAGTTTACTGAAGTATGGGAAAATAAGTTTCACTGTGAGAAGTAGCCCTCACCACTATTTTGCTTATTAAATCATTTATTCAATTCAGTTGCTACAGAGTATCTATACCTTTCAAAGGTAATAAAGCCTTTTAATAGCTTTTATTAAAGGTATATACCTTTAATAAAAAAGGTATATATCATGTATAATTTTTCACAGCAGTGCTAAATAAAGATGTAGCAATTTAAAATGTCTATAAAGACTTGTATAACATACATAATTGGGGAGTGCAACAGGTAGATATTGTTCATAACTCTGTAGAAATGAAAAAGGAGAAATGAACAAGCTCAACAACAAAAATACCAGAATAAAAAGGTGAGGAAAGGCCAGGCATGGAGGCTCACACCTGTAATCCCAGCATTTTGGGAGGCCAAGGTGGGAGGATCACCCGAGCCCAAAAGTTTGAGATCAGCCTAAGCAACATAGCGAGACCCTATCTCTGAGCTATGATCGTGCCACTGCACTCTAGCCTGGGCAAGAGTGAGATCGTGTCACCAAAAACAAACAAAAAAACCCCAAAACAGGCCGGGCGCTGTGGCTCACGCCTGTAATCCTAGCTCTTGGGAGGCCGAGGCGGGCGGATTGCTCAAGGTCAGGAATTCAAAACCAGCCTGAGCAAGAGCGAGACCCCATCTCTACTATAAACAGAAAGAAATTAATTGGCCAACTGATATATATATATATATAAAAAATTAGCCGGGCATAGTGGCGCATGCCTGTAGTCCCAGCTACTCGGGAGGCTGAGGCAGAAGGATCACTCGAGCCCAGGAGTTTGAGGTTGCTGTGAGCTAGGCTGACGCCATGGCACTCACTCTAGCCTGGGCAACAAAGCGAGACTCTGTCTCAAAAAAAAACAACAACAAAAAAAAACCCAAAACAAACAGAAGGCTGGGAGAAAAAAATACAAAAATTTAATTCTCAATTGTCTTTTAGTAAGGGGACTACTATTGTTTCCCTATCTATTTTTCTATATTTTCATAATGAACACTTTACAATTTAGGTACTTGTTAACTTTAAAATCCAAGAGAAAAGAATACCTGCATTTCTGTTACTGATGCAGTAGGTACATCAAAGCAAACACCCTAGAAATCAAAGCAAATAGAAGTTAATGCAACCAATGAACACTGAATAATACCCCAAAAGGCCAATTATTATGTAGTGGGGGAGAAAAAAACAGGTATTAATTTTAGATGAACTTTAGACCAAGACCGACACATTGTAGCTCCCAAAAGCACAGAGGAAACCCAAGAAATATCTAAAAGAAGGACTCCAAAACAATTTTGATTTCCTGTCTACAGAGAGATTCTTGGCTATCATACTGTGCTAGCCCTTGAGTAGAGAATAGCTACAGTTTATAGCTAAGGAAACAGGCTTAGAGAGGCTAGCTGACTTGTCTAAGGCCTTACAGCTATTAAGTAGAGCAGGTATTTAAAATCTGGTCTGTATAGCTCTAAAACCTATGGTCTAAAGCCACAACGACATACTGCCTTCTATCAGAAAGGCACTGCTAACTAAAAGCAGAAAAATAAGTGATCTTCCATTGTTAAGTTTTCTAGTTTTCCTTAATTCAGACTCTTGTGAAAGAGTATAAAAAAAGCAAATACTTGGCCGGGCACGGTGGCTCACGCCTGTAATCCTAGCACTCTGGGAGGCCGAGGTGGGCAGATTGCTCGAAGTCAGGAGTTCAAAACCAGCCTGAGCAAGAGCGAGACCCCGTCTCTACTATAAATAGAAATAAATTAATTAATTGGCCAACTAATATATATAGAAAAAATTAGCCGGGCATGGTGGCGCATGCCTGTAGTCCCAGCTACTCGGAGGCTGAGGCAGAAAGATTGCTTGAGCCCAGGAGTTTGAGGTTGCTGTGAGCTAGGCTGACGCCACAACACTCACTCTAGCCTGGACAACAAAGTGAGACCCTGTCTCAAAAAAAAAGCAAATTCTTGAACAGACATCTTATTACTTACTAAAGTGCCATTCTTTCCAATCAAGGTAGTCATCAACAAATATGACCAAACTATCCCTGTTAAGGGACACACACACTCCTCTCCCTGTTGTCTTTAACTGATTATTTATGAGGAATACCCCTTCCACCCAACAATTTACCCAATTACAACACAGGGATCATCAGATACTAGTGCATTTTGCCATTCATGGGAATATTCATTCACATATTTACTAAACATGTAGAGTATAATACCAGGCATTTATTGAGGTATAGGGATAACTAGAAAACAGTTTTCGCCCTTCAGTAGGTCATAGTGTTCTTGAAGCCTCAGTCAGTAAGATAACACAGCCAGGTAAAAATCTACCCAAACAAACTTATGTTCCAAATATTCTGAAGGACAGATGCCCCTAACTGCCTATTAAGATTTAAAGCTTCACACAGAAGTAGAAATCTAATGTCAGTATAAAAAGAAAAGAGGAAAAAAAATTATAAAATTAAAAAAAAAAAAAATTTAAGGTTAAGCAATGTCATAAAGAATACTGTGAAGGGAAAAAATAAACAGTGGGTCCAGCGTGCACTTAGAGTGAGACAAACCATGGTATACTTGGCATCGCTGGAATAAAGGGTGTTGGTGATAAGTCAGAGGTGGGGCTGGTAAGGGGGAGACAGAAGCCAGGACATGAAGGATCTTATCCTCCGTATGAGGGTGTTGGGACTTTACCCAAAGGTTATGTGGAGTTGCTTAAGGAGGTAAACAACATGGTCAGACACGCAACGAGTTGAAGATAAACCTGATTTTGTTTACTAGGCCAGCATTCTCCAAGTATAGTCCAGGCATCCTTGGAAACCTGAGATCTTTCAAGGGTTCTGTAATTATTTTCATAATACTACTTAGATATCTGCCCTATTCATGCTCGCTCTCTCAAGGGTACAGTGAAGTTTCCTAGACACTATATGACGTGATGTTGTCATTGCTCTGATGGCTAAAGGAACACGATATTGTGTTCTAGGGTTCCAGGTTTAATTCTAATACAGTAAACATCAATAGATGTAACCCTATCAATAGATGTAACAAATGCTTTTCGGGGTTCCCCAATATTTATTAAGAGTGTAAAGGGATCATGAGACCAAAATGCTTGAAAGTTACTGTAGTAGTCTATGCCATTAACCAAGAGTAGGACTTAGAAGAAAGGACACCAGGTTTAGGAAGCAAGACTTAAAATTCTGAATTTGAATTCAAGTTTCTGAATAAGGTACTAATTAAGCCATCTAAGTGGACATGTCAGGGAAGCAGCTAGATCTTCAACTCTAGTGTTGTGTGCAGAATGGTTTAGGCTAGAGATATAGATATGGTACTTGTCAATGATGCAGTGACAACTGAGGGGCAAGGGTGAGATTGCTCAGGGAAGAAAAGAAAGTGAAAAGATGCAACATCCCTGAAGAACAGGAAGAAGCTACCACACTGTTTTCCTACCCACATAAAGCTAGCAAACCAAAGAGAGGTTACAAGAGGCCCCAGCCTTACCAGCTTTCCTTTGAGAAAGACCATTCCCTTCACTTTGGAATCAACATCCTCACCCAGTTGCTCTTTAAGTTCTTTCCAAGCATAACTAATGTTTGGCATTTCAATGGAACACCGCAAGATCATGGTCACAAAACCCTTATGGAAGAAAGGAGAACAAAATTAAAGTCTCAAAAACAAACTTCATTTCCCACCTTCAGGAGGAAGTGAAAACAACTGAGAAGCTTAAATTCAAATCCAATGCAAACCCCAAATTATAGTAGTGTCAGAAATATGACAAGGAACCTTACCGCAGCTGAGTTGATCAAGGAGCGCTGGTCTACTGATGTGGCACCTGAAATATGAGCCAATGCTGCTGCCAGGGCTTCCACAGCTCCCTTCTCCTCTATCAGCTTCTGGGCTGACTCCTTGAAGTGACCAATGGCAGTGGGAGGCACAGAATCCAAAAGCCTACAGTTGGATTGAGAGTATATTTGTTATGGCCGGGCGAGGTGGCTCACGCCTATAATCCTCAGCACTCTAGGAGGCCGAGGCGGGCAGATTGCTTGAGGTCAGGAGTTCGAAACCAGCCTGAGCAAGAGCCAGATCCCATCTCTATTATAAATAGAAAGAAATTAATTGGCCAACTAATATATATAGAAAAAATTAGCCGGGCATGGTGGCGCATGCCCGTAGTCCCAGCTACTTGGGAGGCTAAGGCAGAAGGATTGCTTGAGCCCAGGAGTTTGAGGTTGCTTGTGAGCTAGGCTGACGCCACAGCACTCACTCTAGCTGGGGCAACAAAGCGAGACTCTGTCTCAAAATTAAAAAAAAAAAAGAGTATATTTGTTAGAAGACAGGATAGTAGAGGTGGATAGATTTCATTTCCAAGACAACAGCACCTCAAGATAAATCAGTAGGCCAGGCATGGTGGTTCACGCCTGTAATCCTAGCATTCTAGGAGGCCAAGGCGGGAGGATCACTCAAGGTCAGGGGTTCAAAACCAGCCTGAGCAAGAGTGAGACCCCGTCTCTACTAAAAATAGAAAGAAATTAACTGAACAACTAAAAATATATAGAAAAAATTAGCCGGGTATGGTGGCGCATGCCTGTAGTCCCAGCTACTTGGGAGGCTGAGACAGAAGGATTGCTTGAGCCCAGGAGTTGGAGGTTGCTGTGAGCTAGGCTGATGCCACAGCACTCACTCTAGCTTGGGCAACAAAGTGAGACAAACAACAACAAAAAAACAGTGTCTCAAACAACAACAAAAAAAGATAAATCAGAAACTTTCAAACCAAATCTTTCACATGTGTAACACATCATTTTGATGCAATAATCACATTTCTGTAGTAATAAATCCATTCCTTTGAGTGTATCTAATTCTAATTTACCACCAACTCCCCTGAAGTTTTATTCTAAGGAAATAAAACAATTAAGATGGTCATCAGTGTTACTTATAATATATAAAAAAAGCAACCAATTTAAAAATGTGCATCAGTATAGACTACTTATATAAACTACAAAACAGAGACAATAAAATGTTATATTGTCATTAAGTGAATGATAAATAATGTTGAAATTTATTAGTTTTTTTTTTTTACAATAAGCATGTATTACTTTTAGAATCAGAAAATATAGGCTAGGTACAGTCGCTCACACCTGTAATTCCCACACTCTGGGAGGCTTAGGCAGGAGGACTGCTTGAGGTCAGGAGTTTGAGACCAGCCTGAGCAAGAGAGTGAGACCCTGTCTCTACTAAAAATAGAAAAATTGGCCAGGTGTCATGGTTTGCCTATAGTCCCGGCTACTTGGGAGGCTGAGGCAAGAGGATTACTTAAGCCCAGGAGTTTGAGGTTGCTGTGAGCTATGAGAACACCACTGCACTCTATTTAGGGCAACAGAGTGAGACTGTTTAAAAAAAAAAAAAAAAAAAAACCAGAAAATACTGTGGTTATTTCCATTCTGAAATTAAATAATTCTCTTGCCCCAAATGCCAGTAGCACCTACCTTGACAAACACTGTTCGTTAACCCAATCCTCACCATCCAGATATTTATTGTAACATCAAGAATCAACTCTCATTCTACCAGGCAGGGGACTGGATTAATGTAGATATGGAATATAATCTTGCTATCCACTCTAATCAGTGGCTAGATAGGAAGCACTTATACCATATTTAAGTTACCATTCCTTAAAATGTCCAAACTAAACCAAACTATCAAATATTAATAGATTTCCTCTCATCAACAATACTGGGCAGGGATGAATAGAAATGATATTTACTTTAAAGTATTTGTAATATTCTACTTTAACACAGTCTGTTTTTATAAGTAGGTTATCAACTGTTTAAAAAAAAATACAGTATATAGAACAAACATTAAAATAAACCACAGTGGTGGTAGGGAACATACCTGATGGCATCTTTGCTGGAAGCTTTAATTATTTCTGTTGCAGAAGGGACACCTATTCGTTTAAACTTGATTCCCTATAAGAAATGAACCATAGTTTAATGAACAAAAGCCATCAATTGTCTTCACCAAAATTAATAGTTCCCTGATTTTTTATATTCACCAAATGTATTTATTACATATAAAAAATAAATTTTGGAATGCTTTGAGGTTTACAGAAAAGTTACAAAGATAGCATAGAGTTCCTGTATAGCATGCACCAAGTTTCTGTTATTTTTAACATCTTACATTACTATGGTACATTTGTTTCAACTAAGAAATCAACTTTGCTAAATTACTATTAACTGAACCCCAGACTTTATTACATGTCTGGTCACTACATGACTTGTTTCTCATACCCTTGACAGTTTTAAGGAGTGTTCATCAAGTATTTTGTAAAATGTTACCCAATTTGAGGTTATCTAATATTTTTCTCAAGCTTAGACTGGTGTGGTGTGTTTTGGAGAAGAATAACAGAGGTGTAAGCCTGTCTTACTACCTCTTATCAGGGGGGCATGCTTATCACCGATGATGTGAATCATAATCAGCTGGCCCAAGGAGTATATGCCAATTTCTCCACTGTCAAGTCCTTACCCCCCACTGTATTCTAGTCTAAGTAAATGACTAAGTCCTATCAAGGGAAGGGTGGGGGGAGAAGCCCTGCCTCCTGGAGGGGGAAGTACCTACATAAATTATTCAAATTATTCTATAAGGAAAATTAATCTCCTCACCCTTACCTTTTGATATACCTCCATCCTTTAGTTTTCAAGCAATCCCTAAAACCCCCTAATCTTCACATAAATATTTCTGGTGGTATTCATATTATCGTTGTCTAAAAACCGTCTTTCAAACGTGAAAATGAGACCACTGTTTTCAAATGCAAAGTTATTACAAAATGGGCTTTATTATTATAGGACAACATAAAACAACATGTACCTAACAAGTCTGCAGTCATGGCCACATGCTAGAAATAAAAATAACAATTTAAAGTGAAGAAAATTGAATAAGGAACTCAACATTTGCCTAATAAAAGCCAAGAAAATAGTTTTACCGCTTTTTGTTCCACTTGTACTAATTGATATTCTTCCTTGTGCTGATAAAAGCAGATGCAAACCCCCGTCCTTCCAGCTCTACCTGTCCGCCCAGAACGATGAATGTAGGACTCTACATCCTATTGAAGTAAAGAAAATACATGAAGTGACACTGAGCAATAAAAACACCAACACCTGAGCAAGCTATGCAGGTCAGTAAACACTAGCAAATCTGTTTATATATCTGGAGGCACAGGTAGAAGGTCCCTTAGCACTTCAATTTATTATTTTATTTTATTTTATTTTGAGACAGAGTCTCACTTTGTTGCCCAGGCTAGAGTGAGTGCCATGCGTCACCCTAGCTCACAGCAACCTCAAATTCCTGGGCTCAAGCAATCCTTCTGTCTCAGCCTCCCAAGTAGCTGGGACTACAGGCATGCGCCACCATGCCCGGCTAATTTTTTCTATATATTTTTAGTTGGCCAATTGATTTGTTTCTATTTTTAGCAGAGACAGGGTCTTGTTCTTGCTCAGGCTGGTTTTGAACTCCTGACCTTGAGTGATCCGCCCGGCTTGGCTTCCCAGAGTGCTAGGATTATAGGCGTGAGCCACCGCACTCGGCCTATTTTATATTTTTATAAGTCTTCAAAATCCAGAGTGCATAATAAAAAGTTAAATCCAGTGTATATTCTATACTTACAGTACATACATCAATTCAGACTACCTACATTTCAAGTGCTCAACAGCTGTATGTGGCTAGTAGATACAATATTGGACAGCACAAGTCTATAGGCTCATGAAACAATGTCCATGTCACACGTTTATGGAACTTCTTTTTTAAGAATTGGAGAATTCAGGCCGGGGCAGTGGCTCACGCCAGTAATCCTAGTACTTTGAAAGGTCAAAATAGGAGGATTGACTGAGGCCAGGAGTTCAAGACCAGGCTGGGACATAGCAAGATCCTGGCTCTACAAAAGTAACAACAGCAAAAAAAAAACAAAAAAAAAACAACCAGGTGTGGTGGCATGCACCTGTAGTCCCAGCTACTGGGGAGGCTGCAGCAGGAGGATCGCTTGAGCCCAGGAGTTTGAGGTCACAGTGAGCTATGATGATGCTACTGCCCTCTCCAGTCTGGGCAACAGAGTGAGACTCTGCCTTAAAAAATGAAAAAGAAAAAAGAACTGGTGAATTCATAGTCATGAGGTATTTTTCCTGTTGTTGTAAGCAACCTTTAATTGTGAGGGATTTGCCAATTTGAGGAGAGGTTACAAGGTCTTCACATTGGAAGTGACTAGAACAGGCTCCTTTAGAGTAACCTTTATTCACGTGAAGTACTATCCATACCGTTGTAACAATGCTTCAGGGCCCTTCCCAAGAAGTTCCCATAACCCATGAATGTAAGCATCTCTAACCACAGAGGCTCGTTTTTTCTTTTCCCAGTGAAGCTATCCTTCAAAAGAAGTTGTTACAGATCTATTCTCTTCTGTCCACTAACTACTCATGCAGTTATATCTATCTTACCCTCACCCTACATGATTTCTTATACTCATCTTCAAGGTGCATCTCAAAATTGCACCAGTTGCCATAAGCTATCTTTCCAACCTCTGGCTACTGACGGCAATTCTACTCAACTGTCAGTGGTGGGAATTATAATTTTTATCATTTTAATTACATGCATTTTTAAAATCACCCTTAGCATCCTAGCATTTCAGAGGCAGCTGTTATTAATCATATGCAAATAAACAATAGAATTTCCGATCCATTTTAATACCTAAAAGAAACAAAACCAAATAAAATCTAAGCATAAAACACATACCTTTGGTGGACAGCTTTGTACAACCAAATCAACTTCAGGGATGTCTAAGCCACGCGCAGCAACATTGGTTGCCACCAAAACTCCAAAAGCACCATTTCTGAAACCTTTCAGGGTGATTTCCCTTTGCTTCTGTGGAATGTCTCCATGTAATGACTGCGCATCCTGCCAAATAAATAAACTGACCTAAAACACTAGTTCCAACAATAAAAGTATTTTTCATCGTCATCCATTAGGCCTGTAAGAGATATTCACATTTTGGTAATCTCCTGTAAAAATATTACAAAAGGGAAAACATGGACAAACCTCAAAATTATTTCTAAATCCTCAGTCATTAAATCTAACTGGATACAATTATATCTACTGAAGTTAAAAATATCAGACAAGAGCAATCAAACCTACTTTGTCAGTATAACTTTAGATTTGAGCCACCATTTACTCATCTATAAGATGAGACATCATGACAGATTAGTTGAGCTTCGAAATGTATACTCTGACCATTAGTTGAATGAAACTTCCTCTCATTTGTAACCTAAAATAAACTAGAAGTCACTGGATGAATGAAAAATAGACCCAGCGCAGGTATGTCCACGGTAAAGATTTGTTGATACCCCCAGCTGTGCGGGCATGAGGGGAAAGACCAACCTGCGTTATAGCCGAATTCTGTGACAGCTCCTGAGCTTCCTTCTTGGTTTCGCAGAAAACAATAGTACGTCCTTGATGACCACTATACACTCGGATCACATCCCCAATCACTGCTGCCCTCTGACTCCAGTGGCACTTAATAGCCAGATGCTTATAAGACAGAAACAAAAGAATCTATTTAGTAAAACCTTGCTGGAACCTGAAATCATCTGCTCAACACTAATGATCTAATGTCTTAGTACTAGAAACAACTGCTCTAGCCTGGCAACAGTTGTCTGTCTGCTGCCACCATTGCTTGGAGAGAATAAAAACAAAACAAAATACTAAATAAACCATTAAAGAACAGAGCCATATATGTTCTGTTCCCCTGTGCCTCTCCCCTTTGTCCACAGAGGATCTGGCTTCTTTATCTATTATTTTCTGACTTAACCAGGAAAAAGTAGGAAAGGAAATGTCATTCCCCAGGATTCCCCAGGAAATCAAATAACTGACGAGTTTCTGTACGTTTTGCCCTTTCATCCAACTAAAAATGCAATCCATAGTCAGTTACTATAAAGGTCTGTTCCTCAGGTGAAATGAAGTATCAGACCTGAAGATAAAAACAGCTTCAATGCAAAGCACTAAATTTCCCTGCTGCCCCCAGTGTTTAAATTCTAAGTATGATTTCTTTATTAATATAATTCACAGGTGGTGAAATTTAAGAAACACAGATACCATATACAACTCAAACAAAAATATATCTTTACTTGGCTTTTAATATGGATTTACTATTTATCTGGAAAAAAGGTGGATTTACCAGTCTTAGTATTATCAGAAAAAGATATACAATTTTATATTAACTGCAGCAACTAAATAAATCATTTACCTCCACAGTTATTGCCGTTTTCTGTGTCTTTTTACCAATCAGGTCCACCTGTTCATATGTAGATTTCATGTATTTCTTAGCAACATTAAATACCCACTGAGGGCAAGTTGCAGAAAAAAGCAATGTTTGGGGATTGTCTTCAGAATCTTCAGGGGGAAAAAAGTCAGTATGAATAATTCAAACAAGCCTACATAGTATTCCATCTCACCTAGTACTTCCACTGCCCATCAACATTCATCAACAACCACTTGAGGCCAAGTCAGGCATTGAGGACACAAAAAAGAAAGACACAGGTTTCACAATGGGCAAAGAAATACTGCGGAAGGAATTTTAACAAAGGATCCTTGCAGTAGCCAAAGTACTTTAAACTTATTTTGCTTTCTGTCCACTGGGCTTTATGAATCACAAAAGAAATCTGTCCAATGTAGCAAGACCTGGAAATTCATAAAGTCCAGTAACCAAGCAGTATAGACTTCTAAGCAAATAACCTATAATAAACACCTGAATTCTATACTCCCCAATACTTCCTAAATATTTTATTAATTTAGGGATTCTAGTCTACTCAGCCTTTGGGTTCAGCTACTATTTGGTTTGTACTTAAGAGAACCATTACAATCTCCTACATTTCAAAAGGCAATGTAAGCTGGTAGAACCCTTTTGGGGAGCAATTTGACAATGTATATCAAGGAGCATGAACTATTTACACATTTTAATTCAGTAATTCCACTTCTGGAAATCTATCCTAAAGAAACAATTCCAGATATTGAGGTGTGAGAGAAGCTATCTGCATGAAGGTGACTATAAGCAGAATTATTTACATTGAAAAAAATTAAAATAGGCAGATAGTGGAATTAAATCATAGCCAACCACTTAAAGGAATACCATCCTGAAATTTTACACATACAGTCAGATTATAATTGACACACACACACTAACATACAAAAAGTCAGGGAGAAATACACCAAAAGCAAAATGGAATTTTTTTCTTTTACTTTCCCAAGTATTACCCACTATAGTTATATGATAAATCATGACTTTTTTTTAAGACAGGGTCTTGCTGTTGCCCAACCTAGAGTGCAGTGACATCATCATAGCTCACTGCAACCTCAAACTTCTGGGCTCAAGTGATCCTCCTATCTCAGCCTCCTGAGTAACTGGGACTACAGGCACACACCACCATACCTAGCTAATTTTACAAAACTTTTTGTGGAGACAGGGTCTCACTATTGCCCAGGCTGGTCTCAAACTCAGGCCTCAAGCAATCTCCAGCCTTGGCCCCCCCAAAGTGCTAGGATTGTAGGTGTGAGCCAGTGTGCCTGGTCATGACTTTTTCCCCTTCCAACTTCACAAGGCTTCATTTATCTCTTAGAAGGCTACTTAATAACCACCCTTCCATTGGTCCCTTTTATCTGTGTATCAGATTTGGGGCTTACCTTTTTTATATGCAACACTTAAAATCTCTTCCACTTGTTCAGCAAAACCCATATCCAACATCTGATCAACTTCATCCAAGACAACATGCTTAAGTTTGGTGAGATCTAGCTTGCCGTTCTGTATGTGGTCTCTGATACGACCTGGTGTCCCAACCAGGATATCAATGCCATTCCGCATGCGGTCAACTATAAAGAGCACAAATGACAAGATTTGCCGGGTTATTAATAAATAAGTCTTTTATCAGTGTAGGGTATCAGAATGTATTGTCATTCTAAAATATTTATCAAACTACCAAGTACAAAGTAATATGTTTTTGGTTTTTTTAATTTTTTGAGACAGAATCTCACTTTGTTGCCCTAGTTAGAGTGAGTGCCATGACATCAGCCTAGCTCACAGCAACCTCAAACTCCTGGGCTCAAGCTATCCTCCTGCCTCAGCCTCTCAAATAGCTGGAACTACAGGTGTGAGCCACCATGCCCAGCTAATTTTTTTGTTTCTATTTTTAGTTGACTGGCTAATTATTTTTCTATTTTTAGTAAGATGGGGTCTCGCTCTTGCTGAGGCTGGTCTTGAATTCCTGACCTCAAGCAATCCTCCGGCCTTTGCCTCCCAGAGTGCTAGGATTACGGGCATGAGCCATCACATCTGTCCAAAGTAACATGTTAAGTAATGAAGATATACTCAAGGCATTCCTAATCTAGTGGGGAAAACATGTAAGAAGTGACAGTCCAGTTTATGAAGTGACATAAAAGAAAAACACACCACTTGGGGATGGTGGCCCTGGAAACAAATGACTTCCTTGGTTAGTGGAAAGTATCATGGTTTCATAGATAAAGTGAGAATAAGAATCTTAAAGAAATAGGCCGGGGCACGGTGGCTCACGCCTGTAATCCTAGCTCTCTGGGAGGCCGAGGCGGGCGTATTGCTCGAGGTCAGGAGTTCGAAACCAGCCTGAGCAAGAGCGAGACCCCATCTCTACTATAAATAGAAAGAAATTAATTGGCCAACTAATATATACAAAAAATTAGCCGGGCATGATGGCGAATGCCTGTAGTCCCAGCTACTTGGGAGGCTGAGGCAGGAGGATTGCTTGAGCCAGGAGTTTGAGGTTGCTGTGAGCTAGGCTGACGCCACAGCACTCACTCTAACCTGGGCAACAAAGCGAGACTCTGTCCCAAAAAAATAAATAAATAAATAAATAAATAAATAAATAAATAAATAACTGGGATGAGAAGGTGATAATGCAGCTTTTTACTGAGTTGCTATTGTAGTCTAGGAATCTCATCAGGTACTTTACATACATTATCCAATACAATACAATCTTCACAACACCCCTACAAGGTGGGTTTAGTAATCCTGTTTCACAGATGAGGAAACTAAAGGGCAGAAAAATTAAGCAGTTTGAACTTGAATATCACAGCTACTCTGTGAGGAGAGTCTAGATTCAGGTCCTTCTGATGCCAAACCCTATGTTCATTCCACTACAGTTAGAAAGACATAATCACAAGCTTTGTGTGCCAAAGCTAAGATGTTTTTTGTTTTTGAGATAGAGTCTCACTTTGTTGCCCAGGCTAGAGTGCCAAGGTGTCAGCTTAGCTCACAGCAACCTCAAACTCCTGGGCTCAAGCAATCCTGCTGCTTTAGCCTCCCAAGTAGCTGGGACTACAGGCATGTGCTACCATTTGCCCAGCTAATTTTTTCTATATATATTAGTTGGCCAATTAATTTCTTTCTATTTAGAGTAGAGACAGGTCTCGCTCTTGCTCAGGCTAGTTTTGAACTCCTGACCTCAAGCAATTCGCCCGCCTTGGCCTCCCAGAGTGCTAGGATTACAGGCGTGAGCCAAGCTAAGATGTTTTTTAATGCCTGAAATCCCTTCCTGATTTAATAAATATCTGCTCTACATAATAAAGCTCCAAGGTCTTGAACTGGCAAGTAATGGAATATTAGCGCAGGGGCTGTAACATTTGGGCCTTGGGCCCCAAGCAAAGAAAGTCTGTCTATGCAAGAAAGATGCAGGGATGCAAAAACAAATGGGCCAGAAACCCAAGGTCCAGACTGATAAAAAGAATAATCTTGAATTCTGACTTTCTGGTTCCCAGGACCCAACTAGACGCTGTTGTCTTGGGTTTAATAAGTTACCTTTGCAGCCTTTAGATAAGAATATAGATAGATAATACAAAAGTCCTCAGAAACATTTACAGGATTTGCTCATCATCATGCAGGATCATGTTCTTTCTTTTTTTTTGAGACAGAGTCTCACTCTGTTGCCATGGCATCAGCCTAGCTCACAGCAACATCAAACTACTGAGCTCAAGCAATCCTGCTGCCTCAGCCTCCCAAGTAGCTGGGACTACAGGCATGCACCACCATGCCCCGCTAATTTTTTCTATATATTTTTAGTTTGTCCGATTAATTTCTTTCTATTTTTTAGTAGAGATGGGATCTCCCTCTTGCTCAGGCTGGTCCCAAACATCGCCCTTCCAGAGTGCTAGGATTACAGGCATGAGCCACCACACCACGCCCAGCCAGGACCAAGTTCTTGACCATATTTAAATGACTAGAAGGTAAAGAAGCCAGATGTCAAAGCCCGAAAAAATCTAATCAGGATATCCAACACTGGATGGGATTTTCCTTTCCTCACTTTTAAACTTACTTACTTTGACCTCCATAGGGTGTTCCACCGTAAAAACAGGCCACTGCCAACTTTTTTGTGATGTCACTAAAGTCTTTGCTTACTTGATTTGCCAACTCTCTTGTAGGTGCAAGAACTAGTACCTGAAAAGGAAAAATAATTGAATTCAGTTGTTTCTTAATCAATTTGGAATTCACAAGAAAGTTCAGTTCATCCTAAAAAGTATTTTTAAAACATCTATTATGTGCTTTACAATGCACTATATGTGTGGAAGGACCACAAATATAATATGGTTCCTGACAAATATACACCCTAAGTAAAAAGCCTATGACCAGGTCTTAACCTATCAGAAGAGAAGTAGATGCCCAAATGTATGGTACTCCAGCAGGCTGGAAAAATTGGGAGAAGTTTCATGGAGCTACTAGTCCTCAAGGAATAGCATTCAAAGAAAAGAACAACCTGAGCAAGGAATAATACTGATGATGGTAATATTAGCTAATATTTGTGCTTTTACAGGCTCCACTAAATACTTTTTACATTCCTTCAGGTAATTGGGCCCCAAAACCTACAGGCTTAACTTCTACATTATAGTGAATTTAAAGGAACAAAATGTTAGCTAAGAAGGCCAGGCCAAAACCAAAAGAGGCTTTGAATCCTACAGCAGTCTGCGTTAACTAAGCATGAAATAAATGAGACAACCTAATACATTCGTCCAAAAGATATTTAATAACCATCTACTATGTGCCAAGCAGCACTATTCTAGGTGCTAGGGACATAGCAGTAAACAAATGAATTAATGATGGGGGGAGCATGGACACTGGAAGGCCAGTGAGCAAGTGCAGTAAGGAAAGAAAGACAACTGCAAGAAGCCACAACCAATGTGACAACATGGACATCCCAGGTTTATCAGTGAGTTAAAGTTTGTCAAATGTCAGGTTCTCCAGAAATGAGCCCAATGGACACCATCCTGATAAGGGGTCTTAGCCTCTTCACCTGAGTGCCCTCCTTCTATTCATCCTTCTCTACTACAAATGCTTTCTCCATCTAAGCAAAAATGGTCAAAGACACTTGACCAATGTTGTGAGTCCCCGGGACAACTAACTGAAGGGAATATGAGCATTACTAATATAGATGATCACGACCATGGGACAAATTACAACATTTATATATGCAGAGTTTGTGGCCAACAATCTTAAGAATTATCCTGGTTTATCTTTCAGAAATAGATCCACAGTAAATATAGCAGGCTGACTATAAGAACACAAAAATAGTAAGGTATATAAACAAAGCCTAAGAGATGTTTTTTCCTGTGCCGATTTAGAGCCCCTGAGATATGTGAGATATTGGTTACCTTAGGGGAACGACCTCTTTTCCTGTCTTGCAGTTCTCCCTGAAGTTTCTCAATCAAAGGGATGGCAAAGGAGAATGTCTTCCCAGTTCCTGTCCGTGCCTGTGCAACTAAGTCCTTCCCATTGTAGACATGATAGAAAGTCTTTGCTTGTATGGGAAACAGGAAGGTCACCCCTCGGCCTGTGAACAAATGAACTGTGTTACCTGACACTGCAATTCTTAAAATAACAGCCATACTGAAGGACTGAGGCATACTCATGCTTCTGGTCCTGCAGAATTAAGGAATTCTACCTTCTGGTCAGTATCTACAAAGTTAGGCTAAAATATATTCTTTTTTTTTTTTTTTTTGAGGCAGTCTCACTGTTGCCCAAGCTAGAGTGCTATGGCATCAGCCTAGCTCACAGCAACCTCAAACACCTGGGCTCAAGCAATTCTCTTCCTCTGAGGAGGCTGAGGACTACAAGTGCACACACCATATCCAGCTAGTTTTTCCTATTTTCAGTAGAGACGAGGTCTCACTCTCTCTCAGGCTGGTCTCAAACTCCTGACCTCAAGTGATCCTCCCGTGTTGGCCTCTCAGAGTGCTAGGATTACTTCAAATATATTCTGACAGTAAAGAACCTGATATAAAATATCACCAACACTTAAAAAGTACCAAATTATATTACTATTTATTATTCTTAACAGATTAAGTTGTCATGAAATTTCCTCCATTGGCCAAGATAAGCCTGAAAATTTGGTGCTCTCTAGTCTAGACTGTGCTGCACCTGATTTCAAAAGCACCTAGTTGAGCATCTGTAACTGCCTAGCTAGTTTCACACACTGTTAAAATGAGTTGAGTCAGGCTGGATAATTAACCTAGCGATGCCTGAAGAAGAAGAGGATTAAAAAAAAAACAAAAAAAAAAAACCACCCCAAGATGGTATCAACTAATTGTTTAATTTCACCAGCACTATCAGTTGTTACACTTCTGAATATACATATTGTATTGAATAAATTTTAATCACTTGTTTAAGAGGCAGCCAAAATCATTACTACACTAGTCCTATACTAAATACACAGGCCTATTTCATTATATGGTTACATACAGATTATCTATCCTACATTAAGAATATGTCCTGTCTCATCTCAACAAAAACAGTAGAACACTTTAAAATAATATGTTCTAACATTGTACAATATTTCTAAGAATATTACCTTTGAGAAGCTTAATAGTCTCTTCAGATATGGGAAAATTAGAGAAAGCTCCTTCTTTTTGTTCCACAGATATTTCCTGTTAAATAAAGGGCCACAGAAAGAAATCAAGAACTACCCATACAAGTTAATACAGAGAAGCCTTCTAAGAAACAATAAAAAAAAAAGATATTCAAAAGCAACTATTCTCGGGCCGGGCGAGGTGGCTCACGCCTGTAATCCTAGCTCTCTGGGAGGCCGAGGCGGGCGTATTGCTCGAGGTCAGGAGTTCGAAACCAGCCTGAGCAAGAGCGAGACCCCGTCTCTACTATAAATAGAAAGAAACTAATTGGCCAACTAATATATATAGAAAAAATTAGCCAGGCATGGTGGCTCATGCTTGTAGTCCCAGCTACTTGGGAGGCTGAGACAGAAGGATCGCTTGAGCCCAGGAGTTTGAGGTGCTGTGAGCTAGGCTGACGCCACGGCACTCACTCTAGCCTGGGCAACAAAGCAAGACTCTGTCTCAAAAAAAAAAAAAAAAAATCAACCAAGACGACACAAAAATCTTGGTATGCAAATTGAGACCTGAAAAGGAAATAATCTATAAAATCCTACTAAAAGAAAAATCTATAGCAAATATACAGTGCACATATATTATGTATGAGTAGTAAAAGCAGATTCATCTTGACTAAGAACTATTTTCCCCAGCATCTTATACACACATCCATAGAAAATAAGGAACAAGCATTTATGAGTTAGTTGTCACTTGGCATTATTTGATAGTAAAAAACCCTCAATGCTCAGCAAAAGAAATAATTAAATGAATTTCTAAACATTTATATGATGGATTATATAACCATTAAACATATTTAATATTTAAAATGGAAAAATGCTTACGCAAAAACAGAAAAGTCAGGATATAACATGGCATATAGTACAATCTTAATCTGATTAAAAAATAATAGATGTATACATAAAAAGTACTGTAAGGAAACATCAAAATTTAACAACAGATTACCTCTCTGTACTTGAAAAATGCTTAATATTTACTGCATGAATACATGCTGAAATTCTAGGGATTGTTTTTCTTTTTTATAAATTTCTACATTTTCTAAATTCTCTAAATCACCTATTTTTTTATCATCAGGAAAAATATTATAAATGTTGATCATGACCTATGGCAAATAGAAAATTAGCACTAGGATTTTTCTTTCATGACTAAGTTTCTGAAAGATAACAGAAATTAGGTTCTAGACAAACATTTAATCATTCTTTTCAACTCAGGTTAATGGCCTAAACAGAAAGATTTACACAATCAAAGAAGCACCTTTTCAGTGGTTCCACTTAATTATGATTTATTTGGTTAAACCCCTTAGAGGGAAACTAGGATCCATTTACATAGCTATATCTCTCCTGTTGATGTCTGACTTGCAAATAAGCAGATCAAGATCATCACTAAGCTTGAACAGATCTGCATATTTACAGGTGAGGCATTCTGACACCATGTAATTTTTACAATTAAGTCTCACTCTGTACCTCAAGGCATTCCCTTACAGGCCCACCCATGAGGTGGTGACATATCAAATTTTCTCCTACTATTAAATAGTATGTGTAGCAATCATCTACTTATTTATCAGAAACAATGAAAGATATATTCTATCTTTAAAGTGAAATTTTACCTGCTCTATCTCACTGTTACTTTCTTCACTGGCAGTTTCAATGGAGTTAGAGTCAGGTTCAGAATGAGAGAATCCATTCTTCAGTTCTGGGCTCTTCTCCCCTATTTCTCCATTCACTTCCTTTTCTTTCTTCATTCTCTTGGGCTTAGAAACACCTATTTCTTCTTCAGAAGGCTCCTCACTGATTATATTTTTGGTTTTAGGAGAAGAAACTTTCTTTTCCAAGGGTTCCTTTTTCTTTTTCACACTTTTGGTTTTAGGAGAAACAGTGTCATCTTGAATTGGCTCCTCTTTCTTTTTTGCCTTTTTGGATTTAGGAGAGTTCATGTCAACCTCAGAAGGACCTGCTTTCTTTTTAACTTGTTTAGCTTTGGGGGGAATAGTTTCTTCCTCTTCTGCTGCCTCTTCAGTCTTACTGGATTTTGGCTTCTCTTTTCTATTTTTCTAAAAAATTAATTTAAAAAAGCATAAACTCTAAACAAGGCACGTATACATTTGTGTAACTTATCAATTCTGGACTATTTCAAAATCATTGTCAATTATGATGAACAAAATTTGAGGGCATTTCAACATTTATACTTGCAACTTTGTCATAAAGTAAAAATCAAACAGTATGCTTTTTAGTACCATTTTTCAGCTATATGGAGGTAAGTACATATCAACAGTTTCATTAGTTTGGAAAATCAAAAGTATCTCTTAGTGAGGCTGGGCATGGTGGCTCATGCCTGTAATCCTGGCCAGGGCAGGAGGATCACTCAAGGTCAGGAGTTCGAAACCAGCCTGAGCAAGAGCAAGACCCCATCTCTACCAAAAACAGAAAAAATTAGCCGGGCATGGTGGCGCATGCCTGTAGTCCCAGCTACTTGGGAGGCTGAGGCAGGAGGATTGCTTGAGCACAGGAGTTTGAGTTTGCTGTGAGCTAGGCTGATGCCATGGCACTCTAGCCTGGGCAACAGGGTGAGACTGTCTCAAAAAAAAAAAAACTATTGAAAAGTAAAAAAAAAGTTAAAAAAAGTAAAAAAAGTAAAAGTAAAAAAAAAACTATTGAAAAAAAGGTAACTATTGAAGTCATGTGGTTGAACAATTGTAAAACCAGATTTTTCATGAGGGACTTAGAGTAGCTCATTAGATACTCCAACAGGCTTAAACTAAATACTATAGAAAGTGATCAAATCCAAATTTAATTCCGATAGAGTAATAAGCCCATAATGTCCATAGACAAATAATGTTAAAACGGGTTTTTCTTTCTCCCTGCTAAAATTCCAGGTAAAACTAGAATTCATAGACAAATGATGTTAAAACAAATTTTTCTTTCTCCCTGGTAAAATTCCAGGTAAAACTGGAATTCATATCTTTGCCTTGCCTATCTCACAAGAGCAAATGGATTTACATAGAGACACTTCATGAAACAAAAAGCTAGGCAGGTTGGCTCACACCTGTAATCCTAGCACTCTGGGAAGCCGAGGCGGGATTGCTCGAGGTCAGGAGTTCAAAAACCAGCCTGAGTAAGAGTGAGACCCTGTCTCTACTAAAAATAGAAATAAATTAATTGGCCAACTAATATATATAGAAAAAAAATTAGCCAGGTATGGTGGCTCATGCCTGTAGTCCCAGCTACTCGGGAGGCTGAGGCAGAAGGATTGCTTGAGACCAGGAGTTTGAGATTGCTGTGAGCTAGGCTGACACCACGGCACTCTCTTGGGGCAACACAGCAAGATTCTGTCTCCAAAAAAGAAACAAAAAGCTATAAAAATTCACAATCTATCATCCCATGTGTAAAAAAAAGCACCTAATTTAAAGTAAAACAAAATAAATGCACAAGTTACAAGGATATGGAAGGGGTGAAACTTCAAAACCAAAGCAGACAGATGACTACGCATCCTATCTGAAATTTCTGATCCTCTCCAACTCTTCATATTACAAAAACAATTAGGCAGTGTAGCCTCCTCTAAGAACCTTTCTAGTAGGGCCCCATGCCAATCCCCGAAATATAGAGGCTATTATATTGACCTAAAATCTACCTCCCTGAAACTTCAAGACTTGCCTGCTTTCAAATCACAGATTAAGGGTAATCTCTCTGCCACATAACCATCCTTCTGATATATGAAAAACAAACCAGTCTCCCCTAAAGATTTCCGTTCTTTCATCCCTTAGTTTCACCAAATAAATTAAGAGTGAGTTTCCCATCCTAGCGGTCTCTTTTGGAATGTAATGCAGTTTGGTCATGCCCCTTTCGATTTGAGCATCCCACATTTTGAACACACTGAATGAATTCTGACCACTACCTCCCCACCAGGGGGTACAAATCTGCCCTCCAGAGGCTTCCTACAATGCCAAAATATTATTGTTTAAGAGCTCTACATCAAAAAGACAAAAACAAGGAAAGAAAATCCTAAGTCATGTACAATGCAAGTTCAGGAACAATCTTTGTGGGAATAAAGTTCTGACTGATAGAGTTCTGCTTTTACCTCAGAACAGACTCAGTCACAAGTTAAATCACCATCTAGGGAAGCAACAGCAAAGAGGCAGGCAGCTGTCAAGGTACTTTAAGACGTACCGCACACTGCCGGCCTCTATTAGAAAATACGGTGTATAGTTAGCACCACAACAGGTCTTTATATCCCCATGAGAAATCTGGTCAATAAATACTAAGAGGAACTGAATTACGTCATCTTCTAAGGGTTGCTTACCGGAAAACAAACTTCACTTCCCTTACTAGTGGTAAAAAGAACATCACTATAGACGGTGCGCCCACGTGCGCAGATGGAGAGAATTAAGACCTCGCTAGTCCAAAACGTCAGTCCCTACTTTGATTTGGTTTATAATTCCCTTCGCGCACGCTCACACCGCGAGTTAAGACGGATCCAAGAACTTGGGGTCTAAGCGAGAATGTCTTAACTCTGCGCACAGGGTGCCGGGCGCCCAGTCGCATGGGACCACGTGGGACACCCGGCCCTCTCCCTTGTCCAATCGGGCCTCCAGGCCAGAGCTCCTGGGACCTGTGATTAGGTAAAAGCCGAGGAAAAAAAAGGTCGCCGTGCGGCGGACCCAGCTCTGTCCGGCCGGCAACGCGCGCACTGGCCCGGGAGAGCACTACTCTTGGGCACCGCTTGCCGAGACCCACGCCTGGGCTCTGGACGTGCTGCACCTCGCCGCACGCCACACGTTCCCAGCCTGGGCACTTCTCTCATCTCCAGGGCCCCGCTCTTGTCAGCGCCCCGGCCCTGGCCCGGCCTCACCCCAGGTCCCTCGGTATCACCTTCTCAGCTTGCTTTCGCGGCATCTCTACTTTTTTCACGGTTGTGTCTGATTCCAAACCGGCGTCACTACGGAGTTTTCCCGGCATTATTCAGCACAAGGCGTTCGGGCCGACCGGTCTCTTCAACCGCGTGGAGAGGAAGAGACAGCGCCGCCCGTCAACTCCACCCAGATTCCGTCACTTCCCGTAGCAAACTACTTCCGGCGGAAACAGGAAGCCCAAGCGAGACTGACGTCCGCTTCATAGATGCAAAGTTCTGGGCACTGACTGCGGCGGGGCTAGGTGAATTAACTGTTTACAGCCCTTGGACACTAAAAGGCACCTACAGAAGGGCAGAGCTGGAAGGAATCACGAAGATTATCTTGGTACTCTCAAACACTGGCCAGGTGTTCCCTAGTCCCAGCCTGACACATGAAGGCTTCTAGTTTCTTTTGAGTGGCGCTTTAAATTAAATTGCTTGAGTTTGAAGGGTCCTTTAACATACTGACGCGCCGGATATGTGTTCTTAAGCATCTTATGGAAACGTCGACTCTAAAAGATGACGGCCAAACTTAAGAGCCTGGAGAAGAACTGGAATTCAGTCGGGTCTGTTCATTCATGCATGCACTCACCAAACATCCCCTGAGCATTCACTGTGTCAGGTATGAGAAATGTGGCTAGGATTCCCTAGCAGACAACACAAGCCTTGTCCTGATGCAGCTTTATAGACTGGTGCTAGAGACAGACAGCGTCAGTTGTTTTTAAGGCACCGAGAAGAGGCACCTAAACCAACCTGTGGAAAGGGCATCTAAATCAAGTAAACCCTAATTAGAATTTTACAGGGGTTCTTAGTCATGCATAATTTGGACAAAGTACTACTTTGAACAGTTAAGAGAAAGTGGCCCATTGAATTATCAGTGACTACTGTTAAACTTTTTCTGAACTAGTGATCCACAGAATTGGGAGATAATTTATCATAGTAGATTGAAAAATGCGTTAGAATCATATCTGGCTTTGAAAATCTGCCTTTGCCACTATTCTCTGTGATTTCGGTCACGTTACTTAATCTGAACCAGAGTTTCTCCTGCATGAAATGAGGATAACAAAACCTACTTCAGCTAGGCCCAGTGGCTCTTCCCTTAGATTTCAGCTCCTTTGGAGGCTGGGGCAGGAGGATTGCTTGAGGCCAGGAGTTCCAGACCAGAAACGTGGCTGGTCCTCTCTCAAATTTAAAAAATTATCTGGGGCCGGGCCCGGAGGAGTTTGAAGATGCTGTGAGCTAGGCTGACGCCATGGCACTCTAGCCTGGCAACAGAGTAAGACTATGTCTAAAAAAAAAATTATCTGGGTGTGGTGGCACAAGCCTGTAGTTCCAGCTAAGAGGGAGGCTGAGGTGGAGGATCCCTTCTGCCCAGAAGTTCTGTGCTGCAGTGAGCTATGACTGTACCACTGGACTCCAGCCTAGATGACAGAGTAAGACCCTGTCTCTCTCTTTTTTTACTATTTCATCAATTAAGAAAATTAAATAAGATAATGGATGAAAAGATTTGTTATTGCCTGGAACACAGAGCACAATAAACGAGAGCTGGCCGGGTGTGGTGGCTCACGCCTATAATCCTAGCACTCTGGGAGGCCAAGGCGGGCGGATTGCTCGAGATGAGGCGTGCGAAGGCCTGAGGAAGAGCAAGACCCTGTCTCTACTAAAAATAGAAAGAAATTAATTGGCCAACTAATATATATAGAAAAAAATTAGCCGGGCATGGTGGCACATGCCTGTAGTCCCAGCTACTTGGGAGGCTGAGGCAGTAGGATTGCTTGAGCCCAGGAATTTGAGGTTGCTGTGAGCTAGGCTGACGCCACGGCACTCACTCTAGCCCAGGCGACAAAATGAGACTGTGTCTCAAAAAATAAATAAATAAATAAATAAAATAAACGAGAGCTATTAAAACTCATAGGTGTGTCACAAATGTTTGGAAAGACAATTGAAAATATTACATTTTATGACAAAGGAAAATGTTGGAAGTTTTATTTCTGTATTTCATAAGATTAGCATTGAGCCAGGATCCTTGATTTATCCATGTTTGTGTCATCAAAATTTCAGACAGTGCCTGGCACATAGTAATGTGTCATTAAATGTTTATTGAACATTAACATGGCAGAGGTATAGGGGAACGCCTTGAAATAAATTTTAGCTGTATGTCCAGGTAGGAAAACACTTCCATTATCCTGATATTAGATGTGAAAGAAGGGAAAGCAATCCACCAATTGACCAACAAAATGCTTAACATCTGAGATTTCACCATTGTACCAAGGACTCTGGAGTAAGTACACAAGTGAAGACCTAGTCCTTGCTTCAAGGAACCTGCAGTCTTGTTGATAAACCACAAAACTATGTAATGCTGCTGTACTTGATTCTGTTGTATACAGTACAGGGACATGTTTTTATTACCAACAGATATTCAACAAGAGAGTAAGCCCCAGAACACTACTAAATGGGAAACTGCTGTCAAAGCTTACAAAGTATGTAAGTTCCTTTGTAATATACCTGCACATAGGCTCAAACCCAAAATTCCAAGAGGAAACATGCAAAAGGCCCCTTTGACCCACAGGTGGCCAAATTATTACTATAAAACTCAGTAACAAGTAGAATTATATATGTTTTTTTTAGGATATGTGAAGTTCTGTTTGAATACTGACTCTGCCAGACCAGTTTCCTCTGATCTAGGTGATGTAATGTTTGCATAAAATTAGGGGGAGAATTTCTATTTTTAAAAAGTATGTACACACACACACACACACTTGCACACACACTGAATTCAAAAATTGTTAGCAGGCCAGGCGTGGTGGCTCACGCCTGTAATCCTAGCACTCTGGGAGGCCGAGGCAGGCAGATTGCTCCAGGTCAGGAGTTCAAAACCAGCCTGAGCAAGAGTGAGACCCCGTCTCTACTATAAATAGAAAGAAATTAATTGGCCAACTAATATATAGAGAAAAAATTAGCCGGGCATGGTGGTGCATGCCTATAGTCCCAGCTACTCGGGAGGCTGAAGCAGCAGGATTGCTTGAGCGCAGGAGTTTGAGGTTGCTGTGAGCTAGGCTGATGCCACAGCACTCACTCTAGCCTGGGCAACAAAGCAAGACTCTGTCTCAAAAAAAAAAAAAAAAAAGAAAATGTTAGCAGTAGTTATCTCTGGGTAATGTGATATTATGGGTGTTTTTTATTTTCTTCCATTCACTATTTTTTCAGATTCTCAACAATGGATATGTATACTAATAAGAAAAAAATGGAATATGGTTTTTAAAAAACTGTTAAGCACTACCCCCCAAACATAGGAAACAATGTGAGAGAAGGCTCTCAAGACATTCACACCTAAAATGTGAATTCATTATTCAAACTTAAAATGCTGAAGAGAATAAAATAGATGCTATTTCACTTATAAATTCAAAAACCAAAGATTAGGGTAACTGATTCAAGTTCAAACAGCTGTTAAGTGACCAACTAGAGGGCAGAATACCAAAGAGGAGGCCAAAAGCCAAAAGTAGGAGACATGAAGGTGCTGGGTTCTAAAAGGAAGAAGCACAGTAAAGATACTTGTGGCTGAGTGCAGCCCAAAGCTGAGATTTTGATGAAAATTTTGCCCTATTCCATCTTTCTTTCAAAATATATGGACAGCTATTATTTTTGTTAGGACCCTTGCTAACAGGGAAGCTGACCGTTAGCAGGTAGATCCCTTCAATTCAACCACCCTGCTAGAATTTAGCTACACACTTACCTTTTTCAGCTATCCCTGAAACCTTTCAATGGCTGTCCAAAATAAGGCTTCCAAGATATGACTCTTGCCTTGTTCTCACCACTGCTTTCCTCACAGTGACAATCCCAGCAACAAGAGCTACTTATAGTTCCCCATACTCAGACTATGTTGTTTTATCAGCTCTTCTGTTCTGTTGCCTACATGCCCATTCCCACTAACCTGTTTTTTACCTGACTTAATTAATGCTCAATCATCAGATCTAAAAAGCTTTCTCTGAATCCCCATTCCAATTCCTGAGCTGGGTGCCCTTGCTGAGTTCACAAATCACTGCATTTAGTCACTGCTGTGGACCTAGGTTTACGTGTTTCACTGGATTCTGATCTCCTTAGTGCAGAGACTGGACAAGCACACAACTGGAGATTTTAGCCTTAGATGGCAGAAGCACGTCTTAACATGTTGTCAGGATAAAAGTATAGTTATCTTGCAGGTGTTAAGGTAAAAAGAGACAACTTGTAGTGGCTACAATTAGAGCAACTGAGTGGCTTCCTGTAACAACACTTAGCATTCTATTGTATGAATGGGGCTTAGGTTATTCAAAACACAATACCAAACATAATACCTGAGACACTGTAGGCACACATGCTCTTGACTGAAAGTACTAGTACTCATGCAACTTAGTAGGAATGGAGCCCCTATTTCATGTGGGTTATAAATCTAGAACTCAGTTACTCAAATGAAGAACAAAGTGAGATTCCCCCTCCCCTCCACAATCATAGCTGTTGCCCATAATCAAAACTTCTCCCTTCTTCAATCCAGTCCTTCCCTCCTCCTTGGCTTAACTGATATCTGGATCTTAAAAATACATCCTCTGCAAGCTTTTCCACACAGATGTTGCTCACATTGCACATATCTCAGTTGGCATCAGTGTCCTCTTTACTTTAAACCCATTTCCAAACCATTACTCCTTCACTTTCATATAAAAGCCCTTGTCCCTTTGAAGGTAAGTAGAATGTTATTCTATAACCCTCCACATTCAGGTAATTTGCCAACCTCCATTACTCATTGACATTTTGGAACCTGACTTAGTCTTCCTGCCTTCTCAGTCCTGACTTGTTTTCATCCCAGGAGACTTCACTGTCCATGAATACCACCCATGTACCCACTGCTTTGCAGTTCCTTAACCACCTCAACTGAAAAGACCTTTGCCCGCAACTGGTCTACCATCAGACCCTGCACTTGTCTTCTCCCCAATTGCTCCACTCTTGAAATCTTAAATTCAGACAGCCCTCATGGACCTTCAGACTCTTGCCTTCTCTACATTCTGTTATCAACCCCATCTCCACTTCAATCCTTCAGCAATCTAGACTCTGTGGACCATTACTCCAATCACTTTTTGAGTCCTCAATGTCTTCACCTTGTCATCCTTTTATTCACAAAGCAAAACTCCAATCCTTGGTC